AGAATCATCAGAGTCAGGTACACCTTAATCGAAACAATTGACCACCTGTTTGTAAACAGTGAAATTTGACAATCTGTTAAGTTTTACCTGTTCCCGGGGACCTTGTCGTTTTCGTTTATAAGCTGACAGAGGTCGTTTTAGCGCGAAAACTGTAATTTGCAATTCCCTTAGAATGAATGACGCGATTATTTTGCAAAAGAATAGAAAAAAGAATGCGTTATGTTGATTCTTTGCTCTTTTTATTTCATTATTCGCCAATGTCGCACTATGACAAAACAAGACACAGAAATAGATCGTTCGTGCGCTAAATCCACAAAGCGATTTCGCGCCGAACACATAGGAAATATTGCGGGACCAACGTCCTTTGAGAAGTGATTCAGATGGTTTGCATGGATTGAGAAACAATTCTATCTGGTCTCTGTTACCGTGTGGAAATCTGGTATATCTTTTTTTTTTCGCTTTTACTGGATATTTCTGTGATTAAAATTAGTTTAGCTGGTTTTGTCCTTTGCTTCTGGAACATATCTCCTACTTTTAGTCTTACTTTTACATTGATGCCAACGAACGATGCACTCGTACTACGGCCAGTAAACAATACTACTGACAGTAGGGGCTCTTCAGTTTGTGAAATAAAGTTGCTCTTGCTTAGAAATACGTGGATGAAACTTTAACCAAGCAAACCACAGTTCAGACAAACAAAGTCTTGATACACTCAAGCGACATATCAGAACATTTCGTTAGGCGAACTGATCACTAGCCTTGCGTGAGTTTGGCGCGCGTGTGCTCAGTATATTCTTGGTGAAATTGTAACAGCCATCTTTGATTTTTACTGCATCACAAGGGTGGGAAGAGAAAGAAATTTGTACGAAGCGCGAAGGGGGGGGGGGGTGAGCGACGGTCAGAAAGAAGAGGAAGGGAGGGCTGGGGCAATAGAAATGACTTCACGCCTTTTCCCGCCTCCTCCCCTACCGTCCACTCCAACCATAATCATACACGGCCGGTCGAATAAACGATCGAAAGCTCATATTTTAACTCGCCTTGATTAGACGTCTGCAGTGCTGGTTAAATGATCACTACAGGTCAACCACAATTGAATAAATTGCTAATAAGGAAAGCGAAATCTTAAGAAAAAAAAAATCATGGTTCAAGAAACTTATTATTATCTTAAAGATCAATTCATCAAATATCATTTAATTTTTTGTAATTATACATCAAATGGTTTATCCTTTTATTTTTCAAGACAAGTAATGGAATCTATATGGAACCAGGAGGGGTCATTCGAACTGTCGGGAACCCAGTCCCTGACGATAACATTGTGATGGACCATGCTTTTGAGATAGCGGAGCTGCCTGTCAAGTTGGAGTTAAGATACGTCATAGAATCAAAACGTGCTGCTAATGGGCTCGACTGTCCGAAGATTGACCATGACTCCTAAGATTCCAAGAACCAACAAGTATTTCCTCTTCTTTGTTATTTTAACTGATAGGAGCAAATTTATCTGGCAGCTTTGGATGTTGAACCAAGGGCTTTAAGTTCAAGCACATAGCAGACAAACTAAAAGGAAGTATTAGATTGGAAAATTATTCTCCGTTGGACTCTTCAGATGACATCTTCTCAAGATGTCAAAAGTCTCGCTATTGAAAATTGCATCCCTTTTTAGGATTCTAAAACGGAAGACCAAAAGTCAAGATCGCCTGCTTAGAGATAACAAGGTAGTTTTGGTTTTATCAACTGAGTTTATTATGTAAATGGGCCACCATGAAGAGTTTCAACGAGGGCCGGCTAACGCTTGAAATGAGCGTTTTAAAACTCTTTAAGGTGGCCAATTTACATTATCAACTAAGTCGATAAAACCAAAATTACCCTGTTATACTTTCCCATTGACACTGCACCACAGTTTCTTTCGAAACTTACCCTAGCTCTTTATTTGAGAGATATAGTACTTTGAGAATTCCCGTGACACAAAGGATGGTCATGTCCCTGACCCGTTTCTTCTGAACTTTTATTTTGTAACCCTTGTGAAGAAATGACTAAACGAAGAAATGCTTAATTTTTTTGTTCCTTTATTGGAATTTTTTTTTTTGACTGATTTAGTAATAATGGTCACATACATAGACATAGAATCGCACGAATTGCAGTTATCACCTGTTAGTCCAAAGTGACAATCTTTGTTAAGCTAAGATACCACTGAGAATCGCGGTTCGAAGCTTCTTAAGTAAACACCCCTTTTGAGTGACTCCTGTTGGCTGGAACCTTTGAAAGAGCATGCAGTTTATTACTTCATTACGCTATTTGATTTTGAAAATTATTTTCATCTCTGACCCAATCAAATGCCAAATAAAAAATATTGTGACCTGCCTTTTCCCGCGCTCGTGGCTGTTTACTTGTCCATACTTTGAGTCCTCATAGGTTGCCTAACTGATATATGTTTTTTCTTATTGGCTGTTGCGGTTATTTTGGCTACCATTTCCGAAAAGCACGATGAAACCAGTTTCCATGCAAAGTTTTTATTCTAAGCTCTTACGATGAGATGACTCTGGATGTATAGGGTTCCATTAAATGAATCGCCTATCCTCTTTCAACGAAACTTAGAAAAACCTAGGTCATTTCCATGCTCTTTCTGCCTATTCGTGTCACTTTGTACTGGCAATTTTATTTTTGTTTTTAAAATTGAGCTAGGATCTTATGGCGGGAAATTCGTCAATGGTCACGTCAATTGTCAAGCGTTTTTTCTTGTCCGCGAGAAAAGAAAAATGTCACGTTTCTATATTAATAAGTGCGTTGTCTGATACAAGGTTTAGTAAATTGACTGGAAATGGACCACCTCGTGGGCTCCTTCGACCAAATCCATATTGTCTGGAAGAAAATGATCTCAAACTTGACTTAACTTGCTGAAGGCGAATTGCGATGAACTAAAATAATTTGAGGCTAACTTGTTCAATTTGTGTGTGGTTTCCTATCCACAAACAAACACTAACACACATCAACAGAAGTTAACGCACTTTCGACAATCTTTGGTTACATATCACAACATTTCTACCATTTCGAAGCCGGAGTATCTTCATATTGGTGCTGGTTTTCGAAGCTAATTGATTCGACGATTATTTACGAGAAAACCACAGGCTATTCAAATATAATTCATTACTCATGGCCAATCACAAAAATCTTTCTCTCATCATGTAACGTAAACATGACCATTTGCTAACGCTTCATTTGAACGCTTCTCATTTCGCCTTTAAACAATAATGACCTTGGGTGAAAATCGTTTTGATTCAGTAAAACCATCTACTTCTTAATTATTACGCTACTGAGAGAGTGTTTTTACCACGCCCGAGTTACTGCAAACAATATAAACATTGGACGGCCATTATTGAGCCGTTTGCACCTGTTTCCAAAATTAACAGCGTTAAATGTTTACATAGTTTAAACCAATTGCTCTTGACGGGTGATCTGGGGGGGTTGGTACCAGTCACATTAAAAAGGTACTTCCCCTTTTCAGCTTTTCAAACTTCCATGATTACTGACCATCAAGAGAAAGAAAAATTTTTTTTTTGCTTTCAGGGGGATCTTTTCCTAAGAAAATAATTAAAGCTCCGTTTTGAAAGAGGCCCAAGACCTAACTGATTATATTAATCAAGTTAATCACTACATAAGTCATTTTATAAAATTGAAAGACCTCAGTTAGGTGGTTCATTTTAGCAGGTGACCCCCTCCCCCGGAAAATAACCTGTCATGATCTTTCCATTACCTATGTTTGTGTAAGAAGTGGTTATCTGATTTCTCGTCAGCTTTCTGAAAAAGGTGAATGAAGTGATTTGAATTTCCTGACTGCGTTTGTCATTTTTCGTTAGCTGTTTCTCTTTGTTCCGCTACATATGTACGTTCGGGATTCTTTATCTCCTTTCATGCAGCTTACGCCAGAAGAAGAACAGAGAAGAAAAGTTCGGAGGGAGCGAAACAAGGTCGCTGCATCGAAATGTCGGATGAAGAGGAAAGAACATGTTAATACCTTGAGACAGGTGAGCTTCTTTTGGACCTGTGAATATCAATTGACTCATAAATTTAGGAAAAGGATAGCAGTGAGTCTAAATTGGAACTTCAAAAAACCCATACACAGTTCTCAATTTTGTCATCGGTACATCTGTCTTAATTTCATGATTTTCTCGTAAAGAGCCTATATATAACTTACTCTTTTGGTCAGAAGAAGTTTGAGCGCAATTATAAGTGTAAAGTTAGAAAAAAACAGAATCAAAGATATCATTTACTTTTTGTAGTCCACGTGACCTCAAAGACACATTCGTATAGTGAACCCCTTTCCTCTCCCATAATACTCAGGGGTGTATGGACCTTGACCCATAAGAATATACATTAAATCAGTATTCAGCTGGGATAGAATTGTTGTGTTTATATCTTTTAGTGATATTTCGTTTTTGTTACGAGCATTTTTGGCTGGAACGTATGTGGGTAAGGGTTAGGAAGCTCACAATTAAGCTTCCCAAACGAAATCGATTCAGGGCTGGCCATTCTCACTGATTTTTCGATTTTAGAGAGATTCTGGTTTACTGTAAAATTTGTTTCGTTCTTAGGCCTCTGAGGAGCTAGAATCAGCCAATAGCCAGCTTGAAGCGGAGATTGCATACCTTACAGCAGAGCGAGATCAACTCGAAATGATGCTTGACGCGCATGTCTGTAACATGGACAAAGCCGCTGGTCGCGGGCCCGCCTAAGAGTGTCACCCTTCCCGAATTGAACAGAGATGAGGCGTTTCTTCATGACCTGGTTTATATGTATGGAAGAAAACGAAGAAGGCAAAATGCAATCATGGTCAAGGGAATGTGCTGAAAAACGAAGTCAGATTTGCGTCACATTTAAAGGAGCTCGCATTTGATCAGTCCATGCTCCTGATTAGTAATTGTGGGTCTAAGGGAAAGCTCTGGGAAAGCATCTGGTTTTGTTATTTTATAGGTCAATCAGGATACTCAAGTCAGACTGAAAAGATACTAAAATGAGAAAACAAAACAACATGAACAAACATAGAAACAGACGAACAAACAAACTGTCATACAGACGAATTGTTAAGCGTAACAGACTCGTAACTGATTGACGATTTCCTTCGCTGTTCTTTTTTTACGTTAGAACTGGAAAACGTTCCGAGAGTTCTTTAAAATCGCAGAATCTTTCAGAACAAATCCAAATGAAAGATTTCGAACAATCACAGTGATAAAGCAACAGAAGGATTGAACAAGTTAATTTTTGATTTCGAGAAAAAAATGTTCTAAAAGCTGTCTCTAAAAACTTTCATAGGACATATGATATGTTTCCAATCAGCCTTTGACAAAGGTCATTTGACTTGCCAAATAATCTCGCGGGTAGAAATAATTTAACTTTATTTTTCTTTTAACAAAAGCAGGTTTTTTTTTATAACATTATTTTTTACTTGGCGTTTTTAAGGCTTCTTTTGTTTATATTTTGATTATGAATAACGTTCATAGCTGTTACTAGTAGCCATGCATGCAAATCAGACTTTTATGGCAATCACCAATCCTGTCAAAATGACGTGAAACTGCATGAAGAAAGACCATCGAGGTAATTTCCAGCGGTTATTTTCCAAAATGGCGACTGGAAATAACTAAGGTAACTACATATTTAACAAATTGTAACCACAACAGCGTACACTATTGAGTTATGGATGCACGCGGGAGGTTTCTAAGCACGAAAGAAGCGTAAGAGTTGCTCGAGGCGATAGCCGAGAGCGACTCTAGCTTCTTGAGTGCTTAGCAAACCTCCCAAGTGCATCCATAACTCAATAGTGTACGCTGTGGTGTTTACCATTTGTTTTATAACATAACATTGATACATTGTAGCTAAAGAGTTCCCTTTTATTTGACAAATCTTACGCGACCAGAAAAAACAAGCGCGCGCGGAAAAAATAGTTTTTGCATTTGCTCACGTCAGCAGCGTACACGCATGGGCAAATGGGGGACGCTAAATTGACCAATCAGAGCGCGCGCTTTACTTTGATTATGTTATAAAAGCTACTCATCGACAAGAGGACCAGTTTGGAACTGAACTGAAGGACTCATTAATTCTTTATGTTGTAATCTTCTAAAGTTTCAGCTAGTCAGGGCGATTTTAGTCAAACGGTGATTATGCAGAAAAAAGAAAATAGAGAGGGCTTCAATGCGGTTAACCGATAGCTGTGAAATGGCATAAACATTAAGTCGTAGGGCGTAAAAATTGATAACTCTTGACCGTTAGTCGTACTGAAAAGAAAACTCTAACGTAATTTGTTTTCTTTTAATCGCAACGAAAAGAAATTAACCGTTGGCCGTACAATGGCCAAAAGTTTAGCTCTTAAACGCAGGAGCCATCAACTCATTGAGACCTTCGGTTGAACAAACACATGTCAATGTCAACAGTTTTCTGGTGTCATGTCTTCGGTGATACAAACTGCACCGTGCCCTGAACGACTGGCCTTAAACTTTCAGCGAATGTTGTCCTGATCTGACTTGGTTCTGGATTTTTATTTTGGTCGACACTTGAGTGGTGTCTATCATTAATCAGTCAATGCTTTTTAAGGCATGTGAATCTGCATGAAAAAGGAAAAACTGCTCGGTAAAGCACATCTGTTACTCTGAATGGTAAAACTCCTGATAAATTTATTCAAAATGATAGCTAGTAGTTCCAGAATTGGTTAGTTCTCAGGAGCACAACGAACCTTAATTTCGAAAATGTACCAGTTTCTCCGTGGAAATGAACGAAAGTCGCCCTATCAAACCGGTGGCTGGGGGTTCGCCTAAAAAACTTTAAATTTTTTTATACGATTTGAGATTTGAACGTTTTTTTTCCCGCTCAAAACTTTGCACATGTGCAAAAAAGAAGTTCAGTAGTATCCTCTTTCGCTTATGACTTGAAAAACTCACACAGTTATGAATTTTTTTTTAAGCGGCATCTTTGTCATTTATATCAGCGAAATGTTGTTGCTAAAGCTAGTATAAGTTAACACACTCGCAGAAATCCTTCCATTAGCTAATTGCCAATTGGCAAAGTACTAGAATAAAATAAAAAAAAGAATAAAAAAAGCGACCAAACTGAACTCAAAGGAGAAGGAAAAAAGGAAAAAAGAAATAAATAAACAAATCCAAGGGCTGAACTGTAAATTTTTGTTTGAGAATGGGAGTCCTCTCATTGCTGAGGCAAGAGTCTCAGGAAGTTATTTGATGAAAAAAAAATTGTAAGGAAAACTTTTTGGAACGCGAAACAGTGAAAGTGAGACGAACTCAGTGGATCAGGTAGGGGAAATAGACGCCTTTGGTGAACCGAGGAAAAGGTTGCGTGATAAATATATCAGATTTATAGCAAAACAAGCAGACCTTTAATGAAAAGGTAAAATATTCGTGTCAGCGAAAACATGTATGTGTTAACATTTGTGTACTTCATTGAAGTATTTCACCCCACTATCGCTATGTGAGCCATATGTAAAACTTATTTTTTAAGTGTGCATATATTAAATGCTTTATGCATCATGATGTTTGTCTTTGCTAGATCTTGAAACCGAGCATGCATCAAACGACAAAGTCAAGGGGTCTAGGGCTACCCTGACGCTTCTTTGACCTAAAAGTGTTAATCATGATGACAAGGTTCACCATCGTTCTTATCATTGGTCTCTTATTAGAGAGAACGAGATCTACCTACTTAATGTAATGCTACAAATTACCACTAGAATTCCATTTCCGTTCCGAGTGTGACTATCATTTTTTTTGCTAAGAAATTCTTAAAAAATCTGGTGCTCGGAATCGATTTGTACAATTAGAAATTGCTTAAATATGTAAAAAACGAAGTATTCTGAAAAAAAAATCAGAAGTTATGACATCACTTGAAATACAACCAACAGTACCAAAATAAATTTTACACTAAAAATTCATTATCAGAATTAGAAAATATAGTCGCAAAATTATTTATAAAAAGCCGTCATTTGAATATGACAACAGCAAATCAAAAGAAAAAAATTTACGACATTTTTGCCATTGCATGTACTTGATGAAATGCAGTCTGGTCAATGACTTGATTTAGAGGGTTAGCGGACCTCTAGCTTCACTCGTACATTTTCCACTGTGCGGTTTCTTTGATTTCCGTCGGCTTTTGCGAAGATCGTTTTCTATTTTTAGGGAAGATATGTTAATAATTCTTAGGTAAAATTAAATGTCTCTTTCTTTAAAGGGTAAAATGTAAAAGTAAACTGAGGTCAGAGAGAGAGAGGGCTCGCAAAGGTCCAGCTGGGCACGCCCCTAGGCAAGCACGGCTAGTTCGACGTGAGGCAAGACGAAAAACAAAAACGAAGATATGCGAGATACAAGAGGTAGACAGACAGACAAATAGACTAAGCAGTAGAGAAATAAGAAGACTGTCAAACAGACTGGCAGACTGACGGAATAACAGGCTAAAATACCAACATTATGGAAGACTGAGAGACCGAGGCAGCGAAAGACTAGAAGATCGACTGACGGACAGGTAGCCTTGTAGATTTGCAAAATTGCAGTGATAAAATGGCAGAGTAACAGAGTAAGAGTGACAGAATGACAGGATGACAGATATGCATACTGAAAGACATACGAAGCAGAGCAACTGAAAAACTGTCCGCAGATATTGCCTCAGTTCTTATGCTTAGTTTATTTCCGCCGAAGAAAAGCATTCCTTACACAATTTTTCAATAAGGTTATTTAGATTAACTGGACAAAAGTAAATAGGGGGACCCACCTTGAAAATCGAAGTATGTCTTCAAATCAAAAATGCTTTCCTCGAGATCTGTAAAGAGTTGAAGAAATAATAAACATGTTAAGACTGAAATAAGATTATAAAAATAAAGGAATTTTTGCATTAAGGAAGTACAGGACACAATCAAAGTAGGAGGTCGATCGATCATATCCGCAAACAGCATTGTCACATTGGTAAGCTCTCCGCACGTGGAGCTGAAGGCAACGGCCGTGCATACAATATTTCTTCAACTTCAATTCAAATAATGACTACCAAACAGTTAAAGAAGGAAAACGCCGCTCAGTTAACTCAATTGACAGAAGAAATCTCGAACCTTAAAAAGTCTATCAGCCATGTCGAAGCAGCAACCGGCCCGAGGCCGCCACGACGAAAAAAACTGTCTAGAAAATTGAAGCAGTCCTCCAAATTTCGACCAAACAATTACTGTCAACGAGAACGATCTCCGATTTTATAGCGACTAGCACGGCGACCTTACAAACTTCTTCCGCGAAGGTAGGAACAAGTTGCATTATATCGAAGAAAACATGAGGAAGATTGGAGGTAGAATTGAGCAGTTGGCCGAGCGCCATTGACACGGCTGAAATGTACAGTTACCAATACAACCTAAAAATTGTAGGCTTGTCTAAGACAACTGAACAGGAATCTTCAGAAACGACAGCAGCTCTAATAATATTAATAATAATAATTTGTATAGCGCAAATTCCATACAATGTTCAAATGCGCTTCACAATAAAATAACACAGTAATAATTAATACAACTATTAAAATAGAATACCTATCGGTCAGATAGGTATGACCTATCTGAAAACCAACGCAGCGCAATATCCCTTATTCCAAAACTGTTACTTAAGCGAGATAAAAGGACCGAGTGCTCAACCGTATCAATGGCGGCGCTGAGGTCAAGAAGCACCAGCAATATCACGTGTTGGCGATCCATAGCCATAAGGATGTCGTTGTGTATTTTAAGCAATGCAGTCTCGGTGCTGTGACCTCTTCTGTATGCTGACTGAAGCTTCGGGTAGAGATCATGAGTGCTCAGATGGATATGAACCTGATCAAATACCGCGCGCTCAGTAAGTTTTGAGACATATTGTAAATTACTGACCGGACGAAGATTGCCAAAGTCGTTTATCCCGGTTTTCTTCTGTCATGGGTCAACCAATGACTCTTTCCATAACTTCGGAAAGTGTCCTGCTAATAACGATGAATTAATCATTTGAGTGATAACCGGTAAGTGTTGCTCAAAAGATGCTAAAACAAGCTTTGTTGGCATTGGATCGAGAGAACACGATTTCTTAGAAGATTTTTGGATAAGTTTCAGCACTCACTCTGGGACAACGGCTGGAACTTATATGGAACAAGACAACAGTTGACAGAGGTCGATGGGATCTCCCTGTGTGTTGGTGACTCTAAGGTTTTCCCAGTGAAATCAGCAAAGAACCTTGGCACGTGGATAGACTGTAATCTTAATCTGAAGATCAATGTTGACAATACCTGCAAAGCTTCCTATTATCATCTGACGATTGTACGACGCATTAGGAAATGCTTAGATGAGAAAGCATCAAAAACATTGATACATGCTTTAGTAATCGGACGGATAGATTACTATAATAGTATCTTATATGGTTTACCAGCTAGAGAATTATCTAAGCTCCAACGCCTTCAAAATTCGGCAGCAAGGATTATTTTTGATATCCCAAAGATGTGTCACATCACACCACTTTTATGGGAACTGCACTGGTTACCTGTTCAGTTTAGAATACAGTTCAAATTTATCATGATCACTTTCAAAGCAATTAAAGGACATGGTCCAATCTATTTACAAGAGCTTGTTAAGTTGCAGCAGAATGGACCACACAAATTAAGATCTAGTAATAAGGGTCTCATGCTGCAAGCACCAATTGCCATAACAAAGAAAACATTAGGTGATCGTGCTTATATGTGTGTAGCACCTACACTTTGGAACAGTCTTCCTTATAAAGTGCACAATGAGACTGATTTTAGTAAATTTAAAACTTACTAAAGACTCACCTTTTTAATTTAGCCTTTAATTAGGATTGAATTGTGCATGGTTTAATAGTTTTTACATTTTAGATACTGTTTTTATTAGTTTTGTAAATTTGATAAGGGTCTTACCGTAATTTATTATCTGATGTAATTTTTATATTCTATAATTGTTATGCGCATTTGATCATATGTAAATGGAATTTGCGCACTACAAATATTAAACTATTATTATTATTATATTACAAAATAAAACAAATACTAGAACTACATACAAATACTGTTATACTAATACTTCTATAATATCGTTTTCAGGCAAAGATAAAAATGCTAAACGAAAAAGGTCTGTTTTTAACTTTGACTTAAAAATATCCGGCCAATGACTTAGAGTTTCTAACTTCGAATGGTAATGCATTCCAGAGTTTAGGTGCTGTATATATATGCTGCTATATAGCCGAATGTCTCGCTCATACTGCAGTTTTGTTCTACAATCTTAATATCCTTGATATTTGAAACACTAATGCTGTCCTTGTAGCTTGTTTTATGTATCCCTATTATAATCACCTTCTTACTAATGCTTTAGGTACCCTTTTCTCTACTCATCATTAAATGCATACGTACGATACACGGAATACTAGGAACTATCGTCCACATTATTGCAGAAATAATATTTAGCAGTTTACGATCTTGCACTAAGGTCCAAAAGTTTGGTATTCCCTGGTATCTTGTCCTATTCCACAGATCAGACGTGGCTTAAAAAAATTCCTCATCGACAGAAAACTTAATTAAACACGCCCATCCGTAGTTAGCAAATCTATCTTCTACATCGTGTGAGGAACCCAGGTTTGATAAGCTTCTAGCTTCTGCTGGGCTTCCTCGACACACTATTTATAAATGTCCCTAAATTGTAATCTTATTTAGTTTAAGTATAGATTGTTGTGAAATAATAATATCATAACTATTATTTTACAACGCTGTAAACAACTGTAATTTATTCGTGTGTTTGTTTGTGTGTAAGTGGCAAATAAATAAATAAATGAGATTCGTGTAGTTGGATTGTTCGTATGTGATACAACTCAGCAGTCTTAGCACTATAGATTTGGCGTTAGGTAGCTACCACTTATTTTTCTGTTTCGGAAGTAGCAGTCACCGATAATATCCTTAAAACGACTCTCGAAATGCAATTAAATTAACAGAAATTTTGCTATGTGAATTAAAACTTAACCGCAAGAGTTTAAAAGTTACGCACCATAAATGCGTTCCTCATTTTCATCCTCGTCAGGTGAAGAATCCTCATCCTCTTCAACCTTTTGAGGGCTTTTGTTATGGGATGATTCATCTTTTAACTTTTTAAGGACGCTGACCCATTTTTTGCAAGTTTCTAGTGCTGCTATTTTCACGCGTGTATCTCTGTGGGGACCCGTGATGAGTTCTGGAAGCTTCATCGAGGAACAATCCCCATCCTCATGGCTAGGATTTTTATTGCTGTTTGGATACCAATACCAATGACTGGCGGCCTTTAACTCAGCTTGAAAGTTGTACTCATCAGGCGTGGTGGGGTAATGATCCTTCATGTACACTAGAACAGCTCTCACGAGTGTGCTGAAATTCATGAGGGACATTCCACCTTCACATGTTTCAAGTTTTATTTCTTTCCAATCCAGTGATTCCAGTTGTTCCTTCAATTGTTTTTCGCTTGTACCCTATGGTTTTAGATGGAAAATAAAAGAGTTTGGAACAGAATGGATCCGGTAACAATTACGTAAACTTTGTATTGGAGAAGAATTGAAGAGATTTTATGGATTCAGGTACGAAGTTTTCATATAGAACTAGGCACGTGTATGCCCTCACCACACTGTGGGAACCAGAGTACAAAAGGGGGTATGATGAGGGATCATTCCTAATTTGTGCTACCCCTTTCAAGAAAAAAGATAAAAGTCACGATCCCTCTTAATATACTCATAAAAACAGATATATTACATTTCCAAAAATACTGAAAAATTATTCGATGAAGGGGAAGTAAACATTGGACAATATTTACTTAGCCTGAGGCGAATAATCATTTTAGCATAATTTTAGAGCTGAACAAAAATCGGAAACTTAACTCCGCTTCAAATTGAGAATTTCATGTTTGGTAGAGTAGAGCGCGGGTAAAGATCTCACGCCGCCCTTCTCGAAAGCCGTATATTTAGGAACTCGGTTGTGTCATGTGTACTCAAAGGAGTTGTTAGAGGAACTTTGGAGAAGATATTTGGAAAAAAATTTCCATGTTCCTTTTTTTGCAACATAATATAAGTTAACATTACAAGGCAGGTATTATTTTTGTATATAATTCCCAGGAGGTATTGAGGCCCCCCGTACTACCCACTTCAGCAACATATATTCCATTGAACTTGGAATGCTTTTTCACCACAAGCTCATCATGGTCACTTGGCCAAATAGCGGCTTTGAACAGACGAACTGTGGTTTCCTCTCTTTGATTGAGGGGAAAGAACAGAGCGCGCTCGGTAACCATCCAGAAATCCCGTGGCTGTTGGACAAACCCATTCTTTCCTGGAATAAAATCTATCGTTAGTTTTTTTTTATGAGAAGTTTCTATTTACGGGAAAGGAGGGGATGGCTTTTACGGTTGACGATCAATTTGTACAATTTTACATCAACTATTTGTAATTTATACCATGACATAAATTATATCGCGTGTTTCATTACGGGAATGATGAGTACCAGTATTTCTGTAAAATAAACAATAGCCTCTATTTGGCGGTAAAATATGCACGGATATTTGTCCACAGACACTATCTGCTCCAAGATACGAAAAATTTTCTGAGAGCAAGTCAGTCACTGAGCAAAAATATTTTTTTTTGTCGTCGATGAAGACTACATAGAGCTGTTGTGGTCCACCGTGGAAGTTTTTAGGGCGCAGTCAAGAGTTTCAGAAGAGATTAGGACATGGTTCAAGGGTGAGCTTTGGTTTCGTTTTAACTCTTGACGGGATCAAAGTTACAAGTGAGGCTCCTCGCACAGGTTCTCACGCAGTTGTAGTGAGCCTCGACCCTCGATTTGAAGAAATTTTGGATTGAAGCCAGTTAAGTCGGGTAATCGGTGATCAGCGTTTTTCAGTGTTGTTCATTGTGAACTTTCAAGTTCATATAGATATTTGCTAGTCCGTCATTCGTGAAAAAGCAAACACACACGCAAATCAGGTTTGATGAAAAATCATCAGAGTATGATTTTTCATCTGGGCCTCCTTTGCAAGCCTTTGCTAAATGTCTCAGTCTTATTTCAGTTTTTGTTTCAATTTGTCTGTTTCGAGATGACAAAAAGAGATGACAAAATCCCCTCTGCGTAGTAGAATGATCGAACCCTAATTCTGGAAAATTCAAATCTAATGGAAAATTAGTACAACACACAAAGCGGTATCCATGAACCAATGACGTTATAGCCGGGAAATTTACGCAGTTATAAGATCAATGCTTTACTTCCTCGCTATTAATGAAATCTTTCTTTGCTACAACTATTTTCTCTTTACCAAGTGCAACTAATTGTGGTTATCATCTAAATGTGTACCAATAAAGTCTTTGGGTCTCATCGTTCCTTGCTAACGCCGGCTTTTTAGGGTCAAAGTATTTGCAACTGAGTGAATACATTCCAGTCGAGGCGGTGGGAGTTTCTTCAAAAAATTCACTGAATTTACTATTGTCTTATTTTCGTTTGGTTCAGAATTATCTATCTCAATCGCCCTGTTTTGATTTGAGCTATTTTCTTGCTAGTATCTATGAAGCAAACGTGTCAAAGCATGGATGACGCTTTACATGATTCTTCACGTTTTTGACTCTTTCATGAACAGGTCTATAGTTACGTACATATCATCTCTACCTTGGTTATCATCATACCTCGTGCATTGTGGTCTTGTCCACTTAAAAATGAAAATGAAGGCCCGTCCTTTGTCCCTGCCCTGAAAACAGTGAGCTCCTCGTCCATTCCAATTGAGAAAGACCATTCGAGCTTAAAATAAGACAAATTAAAGACGCTTGAGGATACTTGATCTGGAAAACAATTGACTTTTAAACCTCAAGGATACGGTAGACCTTCTAGGGCAAATTTTTTTGAAATTTTTTTTAATTTCAAACTAGGCATATTGTTACTCTAACTATGGTTTCGGACAAAACTTTTGGTAAAGTATTGGAACACACGCGAGTTATTTGCAAAAGCTTTGAGTTCCAAACGGAAGTTAAAATAATTTGCCATCGCGGTTTCTGTTTGCAGACGACATAAATTTTGGTGATTTAACGTTGTTGATTTGCATAGGATAACGAAGAAATGTACAAATTGTTAAACGCACGTGCTGAGCTATTGTTCTGCCAATTAGATCTTTTGTTTTTCCACGTCCTCATTGCTGTCGCCGTCGTGGTTTGCTTAAGGTCCCTATTAATTGTTGCTCAGATCAAAGAGAAAGCGGAACCCAAATAGGAAAAACCGAAAACCACATCGGATACCAAATCCGAGAACCCGCTAGTATATTTGAGGAAAACCGAAAAGCAAATGCAAATAAACACATCAAAGCCTAAAAACCGAAGTTGTTTTGCGCCATAATCGAAAAACTGCTTAAAAATAGCAAAAACCGAAAATGCCAATGCTCCCTTCCTACAAGTTACGAGACGTATTCAGTCAGTTAAGTTATGTTTCAAATAGTACACTGATTTCTTCGGGGAAGTATAACTGTGGAGGTCTACCGTATCTATAAACATTACCATTAAGAACATGTCAAGAACATTTTCAGGCTCAAATCGTGAAAACAATAAGAATGTTTAGCCTCTGCACCAAAATAAGATGCTCTTATAAAAAAAAGAGTGTAGCTTTCAGAGTTTTCCAAGCAACACAATGCAATTCAAGCATGGTGAATCAATGCACGGCTCCTCTACGCGCCAGAAATTCTTATGGTTCTCACTGCTAAATGGCAAATTTAGCAGTTCTTCTAATAAAGGTCTTGTCTTGAGATCATTATATTTCAAGTCAGTTCTAATTTGGTTAATTAAATATTTCAGCTACAAAATTTTCGTAGCCTCACAAATCCAAGTCACGTTACTGTGAATTCAGCACTCGCAGTTTATTGCAGGTGATTCGCACTCAGCATGTTTCTTTCCTCTCCTATTAATTTTTCATAGGCAATCATAATAGCCACTGATGTAAACAGTAATTCCCATATGAAATTTAGTCAGAGATAATTTTCGTTTGCGTTTTGTAATTTCTTAATTTAGTTTTCCTTATGAAAAGAGCGCCACTTTAAAACATCTTGTGTACCTACTCACTTCTTGGGGCAAAGATATTTGAGTTTGCCCCAAGAAGTGAGTGAATACCTTAAAAGATATTTCTTTTCAAGTCAACCCTATTCTGAAAAGGAAGGACAGGTTGATGATAAAATATCATAAACATTGGGTTTCCAGGTTAAAATAACATAGTAACCAAAATAACACGCAGCATGGAGCGTGCACGTCTTTACCGAGAATGTAGCTGGATGACTGGTAAGGTTATACCCCCAAGTTCTAACATGGATAACAGGCGAGAAACTCCCCAAAACCTTGAGGAAAACAAGCAGTTCCTGTTTAGTAACAGGAAAAAGATAAGTGAACTTAAATTCATCTGAAAGGGCAGTAAACGACTGGAATGTACAAATTTTTAAAACGCACGTGCTGAGCTATTGTTCTGCCAATTAGATATTATGTTTTCCACGTTCTCATTGCCGACGCCGTCGTGGTTTGCTTAAGGTCCCTATTAATTGCTGCTCCGATCAAAGAGAAAGCGGAACCCAAATAGGAAAAACCGAGAACCACATCGGATATCAAATCCGAGAACCCGCTAGTATTTTTGAGGAAAAACGAAAATCAAATGCAAATAAACGGAAATTCCGGAAACCGCAATGCCCACCAAAGCCTAAAATCCAAATTGTTTTGCGCAAAACCGAGAAACCGCTTTAAAGATAGCCAAAACCGTAATGCCAAAAAAGCCAATACTCCCCTTCCACAAGTTACAAGATGTATTGAGTCTGTTCAGTTATGTTTCAAATAGCGCATTTGTTTTGGGGAAGTACAACTGTGGGGGTCTACTGTATCTTGATTACCATCAAGAACATGTCAAGAACATTTTCAGGCTCAAATCGTGAAAACAGTAAGAACGTTTAGCCTCTGCACCAAAATTAGATGCTCTTATAAAAAAGGGTCGTGACTTAATGGATACTCCAAAATCAGGTTTCTGAGTAAGAACTGGAACCTATTATTATTTTTCGGAAAATAAGTCAATGGAAAATAATAACAGGTTCCAGTCCTTAATCGGAAACTTAATTTTGGAGCATCCATTCAAGTCACTACCATAAAAAAAGAGTGTAGCTTTCAGAGTTTTCCAAGCAACACCATGCAATTCAAGCATGGTGAATCAATGCACGGCTCCTCTACGCGCCAGAAATTCTTATGGTTCTCACTGCTAAATGGCAAATTTAGCAGTTCTTCTAATAGAGCTCTTGTCTTGAGATCATTATATTTCAAGTCAGTTCTAATTTGGTTAATTAAATATTTCAGCCACAAAATTTTCGTAGCCTCACAAATCCAATCTACCGTACCGTGATCATTAATTCAGTACTCGCGGTTTATTGTAGGCGATTCGCACTTAGCGTGTTTCTTTCCTCTCTTATTAAGTTTTCATAGGCAAATCGCTCAAACTTTCGGTGGGGGTCCAGACATATCATGATGGTCAATTAGACCTATTATCTGGATAAGTTAGACTTATCATAACAGCCATTCATGTGTACGTTAATTACCATGTGAAATTTAGCCAGAGATAATTTTCGTTTGCTTTTTACAATTTCTTTATTCAATTTTCCTTATGAAAAGAGCGCCACTTTAAAACATCTTGTGTAATCACTCACTTCTTGGGGTAAACTTATTTGAGTTTGCCCCAAGAAGTGAGTGAATACCTTAAAATATATTCTTATTAATTCAACTTCATTTTGAAAAGGAAGGACAGGTTGATAATAAAATATCATAAACATTAGGTTTCCAGGTCAAAGTAACTTAGTAACCAAAATAACACGCAGCATGCAGCGTGCACGTCTTCGCCGAGAATATAGCCGCATGAAAAGAGCGCCACCTTGAAACATCCTGTGTACTCACTCACTTCTTGGGGCAGATATTCACATTTGAGTTTGCCCCAAGAAGTGAGTGAATACCTTAAAATATATTTCTTTTCAATTCAAGCCTATTTTGAAAACGAAGGACAGTTTGATAAGTAAAATATCATAAACATTAGGTTTCCAGGTTAAAATAACCTAGTAACCAAAATAACACGCAGCATGCAGCGTGCACGTATTTACCGAGAATGTAGCTGCATGACTGGTAAGGTTATACCTCCATCTATAAAGTTCCAACATGGCTGACAGGGGAGGACCTCTCCACAACCTTGAAGAAAAGAAACAGTTCCTGTTTAGTTACAGGAAACAGATAGCAAGGGGACGTAAATTCATTAGAAGTGGCAATAAACGACAGGCCATTGTTAGGAGTGTCGTCAAAGGGAAGATCAAGCCGTTCGATCCAAGAGTATACGAACGGCTCATGAAAGGAGAGATAACGGAAACAGATATAAAATGCGATTTTTGGTACGATGAAAACGGCACTATTACTCCACATTTACCAGGTATTACTACTTCATGTTCTGCCGGTCCCCAGGGAAATTTCCTTGTGCAGATATCCTAGAAATTACATCAGGGATTATCGATGGTTGGTAGTAAGAGTTTCTTTCCCCTAAGAATACCCTATGTATCAGTAAGATAATTAGACTAGCTAACCACTTAGGAAAAGAACGGTTGAGTTCCTCACATTTCATGAAATTTCGTACATGCAAGACTTGTTTTGATGTTAACTCTCTCTTATTTGTTTTACCCAGAGACAATCCAATTTATTAATTTTCACAACCTCGTATGCGCGCGCTCAATTTGTCTTGTAACATTCGTGTATTTTTTGTTGGCTCTAAACAGCTGAGGTAAATAGATCTGCAGCGGCCGTATTTCTTATACAGAACTATTTTTTTAAAGCAAAACATTCCAACATTTGAATGTTTCTGTTTTCGACTTGTTGAATCGTAATTACAGGAATTCAAATGAGGAAGTCAAAATAATCCGTAATTCCGCGTAATAAACCAATCATAGCGCACTTTTAATCGACCACAAACCCAGCAACCATGCATGCAAAAGAACATATTTACCCTGATTAAGTTAGGTGATAAACCCGCGCAGAATGAATAGCGTTTATTTCAACAACCGTTATAGATAAGTTCTGCCATCGATATGCCTCTTGTTGTTTTCGTTCATTCCCATTGGTGACTTGACTGCACTCAATAGCTCAAGGTATATTCCAGTCAAGTTACTTAAAATGAATTGAGCATTTTCATCAGGAGTATTTCCTAAGAATGATTTTCGTGAAATAAAATTCAAAATATAGTTTGCCAAATGATTGTGGTTACTCGCTTTGATCTATTACTATTTTTACTCTCCATAGGTTTAAGTACTTTTACCAATATAAGAGACATGCCACCCTTTTTAAGAGAGAGACCTGAAGAGTTGTGGCAGCTGGACAGAAACAGTCCTTTTCCTGAAGAAGTAGATATAGTTGTCTTCGAAGATCAGTGGTGGAAAGGATACATAAAGCCAAAGGGAGACCTTGGTACCTCTGTTACAAGGGATAATCTTATTGAGGTAAATCCCATGTTTTTTTTTTTATCAATTATTCTGAAAAATTCAATTCAAATGGAAGTAGGTATGTATAAAACTTCAATGTTTTTCTAAACAGAAAAAAGCAAATTTATTTTTGATAATTTAAGGCGGCTCAATACTCACAGCTTTTCTCAGAACTTGAAAGAAAAACGAATACTGTCATGTTTCTCGCAACTCATTTACTTTTCCTGTGGCTTACCGACTGCGTTTTTGGGTAATATAGATTTAAAAACAACGTTGAAGGTGTAGTGGGGCTTTTTTGTTACTATGGTTCTGTGAAACGAAGTATAACCTAAACACACACTAGCATAAAGTAAATCTTTTTTTTTTATGTCACTTTCGTTTTTCGTCTTCTATTTAGTATCTTTTGCGCTAAAAGGCTCCGTAAATTCAGGCAAGTTTAGGAGGTTTGAGCTCCGCGCCTATTCTGTTTTGCGCCAGCTAAGATGTGATAACACATACATATGCTTGTGGTCCAGTCCAAGGTAAAGCATAACAACTCATCTTCAACTTGATGCTTTTCCAATCTTATTTTTTCCAGATGCTGAGCTGCCTTCCCTGGAAGAAGTATTCTGAATAACCAGGGGCTAGCCACAAACCGAAAAAAAAAGAATCCCTTAGAAGCCGAATATAAGTAGTAAAATTAGATATTCGATTTTGGGTAGTTATCTAGAGAGACAAAAGCAATTATCCGCAAATGCACAATAGGGAAAAACATCGTTGTTTCATTTAAATTCAAATGTTCCAAATTGTTGATCTGGTAATTTAAAAGAAGGGCTGTAGCTAGTGTTACTACTGGTAATCATATTATGGACTGCACTTCAATTTGCCCTGAGACGAAACTTTGGGAGCTTACATTATTCTATATTTCACAATTGCGAGAAAAAGTGTGAACAAATATCGAGAGATCAAAGAGCTAATGGTTTTTCCTTTGGTCCGCCTCAGGACAAAAACGAGCAAGATACGATTCCTTTACATTATAAAGGATAGATATGTTTTTCTCTGGATTCACGATCAATGTTTGATTGGTTGTTCGATTGTTCACAATACATCAGACAAGATTATTATTTTATCGCTTGGTTAGTTCATGGGCTATCATCAGTTCAATTAAGCGGGAGGTATTTCACTGATTGGCCCCTGAATTGTTTGAAATGAAATCTTTTTGAACTCAGGAATAAAAATAAATTTTATTATATTCCTTTATAGCGTTACAAGCACAGCTTGCTTTCTTTCCCAGTTCTCCAAATAAACAAGTCATTCTTGATTCTTAATAAAGCAAACATTTTGCCATGTAATAAATCCTTTCTTTACCATGCTCGTTCGGTCAAGGTGGCTAGATATTGACGTCAAACTCGGTCAGTAGGAGGTATTCTTACCTCGATAAAAATATGACCATATTTAGTCAGACTTTGTCTCAAAGGTATAAAGGCTTATTTTGGTTAAATGTATTAATCATTCTTTTAAAACAGATTTTCAAAATAAAATTATTTGGTAGATCAAAGAACTTCCCCTGCACCTGCCTCTTATACATAGATGAAACAACTCTGTTTATGCGATTCCCTCAATGTATACTTATATCAACATTTTCCGGATTTATTCGTCAGAGGTGCATCGAAAACTAGAAAGCAAAGTGAGAATAAAGCAAAAGGAAGGCTGGCAAAGCGAACAAGTAGAAAAATAGAAAATTAACTGACCATCAAATGAAAGCCTTGGATAACCAAGGGATTACGATCGAAATTCAATCCAAACAAAAAATACTGAGAGTATTTCAATCCGGTGACTTTGAGAAATATAAACATTACAGAACAAAATTTGTTCTCTGATTCGCTTAAGCAAGTAAAACTATTATCATGAACTTTTCAAAAACAACTTAAACGATTTGCGGAAAACATGGCAAGCTATAAATGCGCTACTCAATCGTCGCAAAAGAAACCTTAAGCCAATCAATAAGCTTAAGGATCCACAAAGCAATAATAGAGTTATCAATGACACATTGCGTATACCCAACATTTTAAATAAGTATTTCTCATCTGTTCGTATAAATTTACCAACCAAACTGCCCTAAGCAGAGCATCCTTACATGGACTATCTCTACGTATGATGCACGATCCTCGCAGTAGATAGCGCTATTTAAGCAATAGCGAAAATCAGACCTGAAAAAAATCAGGCCTGTACGGGACTCGAACCACTGACCTCTGCGATACTAGTGCAGCGCTCTACCAATTGAGCTAACAAGCCAACTGGGAGCAGGCCGTTAAGTTGACTCGTAATAAACCCGTAAAAGTGATAAATGAGATACAATGAATATATGAAGATCATATATTTTGAACTGCGGTATTAGATACGTATGATGTGTGCGATTATCGGAGGCGAAAGAAAGAGTGGAGGCCAAGTATATATTTAAAGCTATATATTTAATGGGCAGAGGAGCTCACAAGAGCAAGGCCTGAGGTCAACTGAACTGTTGCATAATCACATCAGGATATTTATAAGTCGAGCGCGGTTGGTAGGTAAGAGGATTAAGGGCTAATCCCACATGATGCACGATCCTCGCAGTAGATAGCGCTATTTAAGCAATAGCGAAAATCAGAACTGAAAAAAATCAGGCCTGTACGGGACTCGAACCACTGACCTCTGCGATACTAGTGCAGCGCTCTACCAATTGAGCTAACAAGCCAACTGGGAGCAGGCCGTTAAGTTGACTCGTAATAAACCCGTGAAAGTGATAAATGAGATACAATGAATATATGAAGATCATATATTTTGAACTGCGGTATTAGATACGTATGATGCACGATCCTCGCAGTAGATAGCGCTATTTAAGCAATATGAACGACAGGCCATTGTTAGGAGAGACAATGAATATATGATCTTCATATATTCATTGTATCTCATTTATCACTTTCACAGGTTTATTACGAGTCAACTTAACGGCCTGCTCCCAGTTGGCTTGTTAGCTCAATTGGTAGAGCGCTGCACTAGTATCGCAGAGGTCAGTGGTTCGAGTCCCGTACAGGCCTGATTTTTTTCAGGTCTGATTTTCGCTATTGCTTAAATAGCGCTATCTACTGCGAGGATCGTGCATCATACGTATCTAATACCGCAGTTCAAAATATATGATCTTCATATATTCATTGTATCTCATGGACTATCTCTGTAACTCCAAATCACCTGACACCTCATTCTTCTTCAAACCTGTTACTCCACATGAAGTGAAGCTTGAAATTTTATCAATACACAACAATAAATCATCTGGCCTTTATTCTTGTCCTATACAACTTCTTAAACGCTCTTGTGACATAATATCTCCTGTCCTTGCAAATTTTCTCAACAAGTCTGTCAGTCTAGGGGCATACCCCTCTAAACTGAAAATGTTCAAAGTTATACCCGTCTACAAAGCTGATGATGAAACAGATGCCTGCAACTATAGACCGATTTCATTACTGTCAAACTTCAACAGGATTTTTAGAAAATTATGTACAACAGAATAAAAGTTTTCATACAAAATCACCAACTATTATCTTCATCCCAATACGGTTTTCACCAAGCGCATTCAAATAAACATGCTTTACTTCACATGGTGGAATCCATCCGTACCAATATGGATAAAAGACTTTTTTCTTGTGGGGTGTTCATCGACCTTAAGTAAGCTTTTGACACGGTGGAACATAAAATATTACTTCATAAACTTTATTATTACGGCTTTCGAGGAGTTGTCAATCAGTGTTTTCCTCATTTTTAACAAATCGTACTAACTGTACATGTAAGTCTAACTGTACATGTAATCAATGTGGAATGGAATTCGTGTGAGAGGAGTGCCATCCTTTTGAGATCGAAAAGGGAAAACACTCTAGAGTCTCTGTTAAAAAAAAAATGCTAACAAGGGGAAACACGTAGAAATAAAAAAATTTATCAATTATAATTGGAAGTTAATTCAAGGAAAAAATAACGCGACATAACTCCTTCAATGCGTAAATAAACATCTTTTTGTTGAAAAACTAAATTACAGAAGAGCTTTCTGAAACTCGCTTACTGCAAAGTCACATTTTTTTGAATAATATAACTGTTATTCAACAACGAAATGTTTTTGTTAGTGGTGCACCATGCTGTCGCGGTTTGACAGTTCTTGGTCACCAGTAGGCGAGTTCTCGAAAGTAGAAACCACAGAACTGATGACAAAATTGAACATTCTCTCGAATTCGCCTGGAAGTTGTTGTTCATGACGCCATAAATGATGGGGTTGATGGCGCTGCTAAGAAACCACAGACAACTGACAAAGAAAAAGACCTAAGATACAAAAAAGGGAGTTAATGGAAGATCTATAGTCTGATTCAGTTGCTAATTCTCTCCTCTGTTGCTGTCAATTTATTTCTGTGTAAAGTACTCGGGAGAATGTGATGTTTCATTAAAGTAACACCATCGAGCTCTAAGGTGCAGTTCTATCGATATATTTCAAGAGGATTACAGGAGGATGGGTTTTGAAAAGGCAAGGATGGATGACGTTAACATTTTGTCGAAGGGTGAAACTTTTATGAGACAAATTTTTTGCGAGAATGGGTTTTAACCCATGACAATGTAACATTCAGCAATAGTCAGAGTTTTTATTTAATGAATTCATTGAATCTGAAATTTCACGCTTAATTAACTACGTCCAGTTGGAAATCACCGGTGATCCTCGCAATCAGACTGGCTCTCATCTGTGCGATTTATACACGAATTGCACCATTCCCTAAGGAATTAAAAAAACAAACAGAGAAACAAACAAATAACAAAAACAAAAAACAAAAAACAAAAAAAACAAAAAAACGGGGAAAGAAGAAAGTAAGCACTTTGCCTGCCTTGATGATCGTGAGCTGGAAGGCTTCATCAAGGGAACCCAAGCAGGGATGAAAAAATGCAAAAAAATGCGCGCGAAACATTTTCCAACGAAATTTTTGCATTTAAGTACTGCAATCAAATCCTTTAGAAAATATTATTTATCATCTTTTACTACAACATGTTCACGAAAACGCACACCTTACCATGAGCCACAGTCTCTATTTGTCCCCAAGCAAAGATCACACAGGCGATCGGTTTTAAAAGGTAATATTTACAACATATGGCCAGAAATATTTACACTTTTTACACCATGCAATAAATTCCAAAACTGTAAACAACATTATCAAAATTTACGCTAACTACGTTGTGGCAAAAAGGTCGACTTCAAAGTGATACTCGCTTTTGAACATCCACTGCCCAGAACTTGGCGTTTAACTTATTCGAGGTGGCAGATAATTAAGTGTCTAGGAATAAATCTTTTGTAAGAATTATTTGAAAATTATGCTTTTGACAACTTAAACTCGAGGAAAAACGATAACAAAATTACACAATGTAATTATGACTTGTTCCAAAGAAATAATTTGAATAAAATGATAGAACTTAGAAAAAAGAAGGATCCTAACATATGTGCTAACATATGTGCTACAACAGCTGATTTGAACAACATTGTCCTTAAACATATTTCAAACCGAGTATATGCTCAGACGTAGTCAGTGAATGAACTTTTGGTGAAAAAGTTGTTATGGGGAATTACGTTTCATCGGTAAACCTTTCTGCATGATTTTCACTGGTTTCCGAATGACTTAGCTTCAAATGGACTGGCCAGCCGGCATCTTGGATGACAAAGGAACCTCTGGTGCTTGCATCTGGGTCTGCCCTTTGGTTAGTTCATCGTCTATTTTTTAGGAGAGATACTTTGTTAGTTATTCTCAAGCAAAATGATATTTTCCGTTTCTATCAAAAGATAAAGGGTACTTGGTAATCGGGATGGTCAGACAGATAGATAGACTCAGAAACTCACGGTCTGAGTGACTGACCGACTGACTGGTAGGCTGACTGACTGACTGGCTGTCTAATATGCTCACAGACCGACATGAATTACTGCCCCCCTCCCCATTCGCAAAGTTGGTGATAAACCAAGCTATAAACACTAACTTTTTCTTGGATTTTGCCGACCAAGATAATAAGATATAATAGAAATAACTTGATAAGTGGCTCACCTGTAAAACTGAAGTACGTCTTCAATTCAAAAACACTTTCCTCGAGATCTATAAAGGGATTGAAAAAATGATAAGCTTGTCATAACTAACAGAAAACAAGGACAGGTTATTTCTGATTATCTCTGCTAAAAAAGCTATTTACGATTGAATTCGTACTTTGGGTCGTTTAAAATGGTTAATGTGTGAGAAATAGGCGGGCGAAGCAGTATGAAATCGGCTTTAGGCGGTTTATACTTGTTTTTGCTGTCTGGATGTAGCAGCCACGGACGATGTTCTCATGACGTCCTATGGAATGCAATTGAACAGAAAAATTTGTTTATTACTTTACACTAAACGTATATATTCTATAAGCTACACACCATCAAACAGTTCGTTCTTTCTATCCTCGTCAGTTGAATATTCCTCATCTTCTTCAATGCTGAGATTGTGGAAATGAAGTGACGATTCCTTTAATTCTTGCACGTCACGAACCCATTTCTTGCAAGTATCCAGTGCTGCTATCTTCACACGCAGATCTTTGTGGGGACCCAAAACGGGTTCTGGATGCTTAGTTTCCGACGATAAATGTCCGTCCTTATTATACAGGCTTTGTTCGCTCCCTGGGTGCCAATACCAATGACTTGCGGCTTTTAATTCAGCTTGAAAGTTGAATTCATCAGGTGTGGTTGGATAATGATTTTTCATGTACACCAAAACGGCTCTCACGAGTGTGCCGAAATCCATCAGGGACATTCCACCTTTGCATTTTTCGAGTTTCGTTATGTTCCAGGTAACGTTTTTCTTCAATTGCTCTCCACTCTTAACATCTAATTATAAAAGGCACAAAAAGAGTTGAGGACAGACTGCAGTTGGAAATAGAATTGTCATTAAGGAGCATCTCGTCAAAATACATGTGTTGATTCGATAAAGAGATTTCTTGTATGCCTGTGTTGTACTGTGGTTACAATAAAAGGATACTCAGTTGACTAGCGAATGGACAACAACTTCCACGTAACTTTCCCACCTTAAAATACCTCAGAAAGTTTTAGCGTTGGGGGAAAAAAAGTACATTGGATATGACCCTAACTTGTGGCCTTGCGACCGCGCTATCAAAATAGGATATATACTTACTTTCATCAGGTAGATTCCTCTAAACTTTGAGTGCCCTTCGGAGTTGGCTGAAATATTTGCTTTCCATAAAAAAACTTCTGTTTCTTGTTTCGATTTTTCTCTTTGGTGAAGAGGATAATATAGCGCAGGATTTGTAACCAGCCAAACTGAAAGGCGATTAATCATCTGTTAACTTTTGGCACTGGCGGTTATTGGTAAAGCCATGGAGGCTCATTACAACGTCTAGAAGAAAACGCTATCCTTGCCGATTTTGTTGTTGTTGTTTTCTGTAATCTTAACGATGGTTACAGGGAAACGGTTTAAGCGAGGGTGCGTTCTGTAGCCATTTGTGATAACCGCCGCATTTTGTAATACCTGTCAATCGCATTTTGTAAATACACTTTATGCACTTTGTGATGTATCAAAAAGCTGTCGCTCTTTGTATTAAAAGATAGTCGCGTTTTTTTCAATAAAGTAAGTTATCGCATGTGGACTTCTGTTCCTTTACAAATAAGCCTGACACATCAATACTTTCACCGCCTCAATTGAGTTACTATGTACCTTCCGTGTTGGTGTCTTCTGTCCACGAAGAGGTGAATGATGGACCATCTGCCGTCCCTGCCCTGAAAACGGCAAGGTTCCTTCTCATGACATATGCCATTTTAGCTCGCTGATGCACACTAGAAAACAAAACTTTAAACTCAATTGGGTTCACTATCTTTTGTGATGCAAGAGAATCGATGTTGACTGGTGTAAGCTTTCCAAAAATTTTACCACTCTTAACTGTATCTCTAAATGCCTAACTGCTAGTGTATCTCGATACATATTATCCAATCTTCTATCGGTTACATTTTCAATTTACCAGTACCTATTTGTAATTGCATATTAATTTAATTTTTATTGCGTTTGACGTTTGAAGAACACATACCACTCGTGTCACTTCGTTATGGATGCACTCTAGTCTCAGGGTTTGGGCGACATCTTGGACTGGCTTACCTCTCACTTCGGTTTCATGCAAGAGCTTTGAATCCCGCTGACCGAGTGAATTCTAGCGAATGGCTTGAACCCGGGGGTAACATGTGAAAGTGTAGTGTGATCGTCCGGGTGAGTGTAGTCCTGAGAAGGACTGTTGTCGGTGGTAGTGACTGACGTTTCGACAACCTGTGCGGAAGTCATCATCAGAGTCAAGTGAATAGTTGTTGTCAGTAGAATGTTCTTATTTCAGTTCGTGTAAAATGATTGGTCAGTTTTGCCGTGATGTTATTGACTGTAAGACTCAAGTGGCGTAAGTCGGTCGTGATTGGTCTGTTTCGATCCATGGGTAAAGTTAATGAATAAAGGCTACAAGTAGTTTCTAAAGAAACTGTGGTGCTGCGTCGGTGGCGATAACAAGGTAATTGGTTATATCAACTCAGTTGAAATTGTAAATGGGCCACCGTAATGAATAAAAAAGCTGACGTTTCGAGCGTTAGCCCTTCGCTCTGACGAAGGGCTAACGCTCGAAACGTCAGCTTTTTTATTCATTGCGGTGGCCAATTAACAATTTCAACTGATAACCAAATTACATGGGTAAAGTTAGGTCGTTCTGTTCGGTTCGTTTGTAATGTTTATGTCGTCAATGAGTCGTTTGTATGGAGCCAGTAGCAGTTGATACTTGTTTAGGGGAGTCTGTTCTAAGTTAGAAAACCAGCTTCCAGAGTAAAAAAGAATTTTGTAAACAAACTTTGCCTATAGAAAAGGAGTTCGTTCTTGAAAAGAAACGCCCGATTGGACTTATACTTCAAGATAATACTACCATCAGTTCTATACGGACTAGTTGTTTGGGGCGGCTGCCCTAATGCAGAGCTTCTACATTCGCTAGAAGTACTTCACCATAGGGCGGCCAGAATTATATACAACTTGCCACGAGACATTCCCACTGTGGAAGTTTACCGACATTCGAACTGGAATACTTTAACCCTCTCTTAGAAAACTTCGATTAATTAAACTACTCCATAGCGTGTTTATAGGTGAAGCACCCACGTCTCTGTCATACTTAACAAGCAAACCATGTACTACATACAATTTTCGAAGGAGTAATAGTATAATCGTCCCGCGTTTTAACTCGCAGTTTCTTAAAAACTCCATTAGCCATAGAGGCGCAACACTCTGGAACGCTGTCTCGAAAAATTTCACAAACCAGTTTTCAGTTTTTTATCGCAAAGTAAAGAAGGACTCTCATTTTAAAGATCTCGATTTTAGCGCACAGTCGGTCCAGTCACTACCCAGGCACTACCAAGATTTTAAATACTTTTAACTATTTTAATGTTTTAGACGCTGTAGTCAATTTACTTAGAGATAAATGATCTAAATCATTTTTATTATTCTTACTGTAATATTTTTATTTAATATTGTTATTGTAATCATATTTACACGACCCCACAAGCTCCCAGCTTTAAACCTCATCGTGTTTAAATAAAGGATATGATTGATAGAGAGTCGTTGAAAGTAGTCAGTGCTGTAGGTTAGGCATTGCGCAGTCCCAGTCAATATTGTGGTTCATAAGTCAATGATGTTCAGCATTGTGATTGTTCACATCACCTTTCTTCGTCGCCCGTCTGTGTTCAGTCAGTCTTGTTGCGAGGCTTCTGCCAGTCTCACCGATGTAGGAGGCTTGGCAGTCGGAGCAACTGATCTTATAAATCGTTCCCTGTCTGTTCCTCGGCTCGTCCTTGTCTTTAACGTTGGTTGGTAACTGACGTAGTGTGGTGATGGGTTTGTGGGTGACGCAGATATTGATGGGTTGCAAGATGTGCGAGATGTTTTCAAACATGCCCACTGTTTACCATCCAAAGCCAAAAATAAACTAATTTTCATCAAACACCATTAGGGAAACGCATAGGCGTGTTAAATTTCCGCCCTCGATAGAAATATCTTTAATTGCATACTCAGACTCAGAATAGGCAACGAGGCTTCTTACAAAAATATTTTGAGCATTTGTAGAACTTCTTATAAATGGAGATTGAGTTCTTTCCGAAGATTAACACCGTACACTGTTGATACGAGTCATGAAGATATCCGTTTCCATGTGACAATAATCCTTGATGCTTTAGCGCTCTATATCGCCAATGAACACTTGCCACGAAATCATATGCAAGCAGTTAATAAGATCGACAACGTGTCACCATTAGTAATAAACAACTCTTGTAAATTATGCTAACTTCCATTTCGATTTTCTAAAGTATTTTATCACCACATATCCCGCTCCAGTTTCAACGCAATGGCCGTTTATTTCAAGCTCCCCTACATTGGGATCAATCTTTTCATAGCTTAATATGGCGACACGACAAAAGAATG